GGGCCCAGGCATGTGGAGCAGAAGTCAGCAGCCCCGGGCTCTGGGCCCAGAGTAAGGTCTGGTCCAGGCAGTTGCCCCAGCCTCATACTCACCTGAATCGGCCCCTCTGCACACCCCAGGGCTGCCCAAAGGGCGGAGAGCCCCCCCACCCAGGCTGTGTGAGCCCCGGAAAGCCGATGCCCTTTCCCGGGAACCGGGAGGGAAATCGTCAATGAGCCCAGACATGGGGAACACCAGGCCCTGGTCCGTGGTGCATCAGAAATGGGGTGGGAGGCAGGGGAGGGGTCGAGAAAGTAGGGGACATCGCAGGGAGACAGGCTGTGTTCACAACCCCACTGTTGCTGCTTATGCTACTTTGGGCCACTCACCTGCCGTACTGATGCCTCAGTTTCCCCATCTGGCACTAAATGAGCATGCCAGCCCCGTAGTGTCTATTGAGATGACGCTGACACATATGAACTGCCCCCAAGTGGCCAAAAGCCCCCTCTGGGGGGTTTCTTCCTGGGGCCCACCTCCAGAGCCCCTGCCTCGGTGGAGCTGTCCACTCACCCTCAGTCTGGGGCTGGGCAGAGGTTCCTGCGGGATCGGCGACCAGCCGGGCCTCTTTCGCTGAACTGTGGGCACTGGCCATCAGGTTCCGGGCAGAGCTGAAGCCAGGCAGGGACCCCAAGAAGCTCCCCAGGGTCTACATGGGGCAAGGAGCAGCGTTAGCAGGGCTGGGCCTTGGGGGCAGAGTGGGGGAAAGCATCAGACAGCCCTGGGTTCCTGTGTCACCTCACCCTTGTTCCTGGGTGACCCGAGGAAGGAGTCTTAGCCTCTCTGAGTCTCAGTTTCCTTGTCTGGGCAATGGGCAGAGTCAGCCTGCCTCCCATATGGAGGAGAAGGTCATCCTCCAGGTCTCCAAAGACCTCTTCCTTCCACGGCCCCCATTTCACAGATGGGGAAACCGAGGCTCAGAGAGGGGCCATGGCTGGTTCAAGATCACACAGTGGGGAAGGAGCTGAGGGTTACTCGAGGCCCCCACTCCCCCCACCCATTCTCCAGCTTGGGACAGGAGGGAAGAGTGGGTTCCATGGCTCCCAGAGGCTTCCCACCTCACCTGGGAAGCCCCTCCGGGCCCCAGTACTGTGGAGGTCACCTTGCCAAGGTTCTGGGGGGCTCCCAGGCCCTGGCAGGGATCTCCCCCTCACACACCTCCCCTTACCTTGCCCTTGGGTTTGGGAGGATCCCGGCCTCCTTCTTCGTGGGTGGACATGATAACAAAATTCTAAGCAGCTGGAAGGGGGGCGGAGAGGGTGTGTGAATAGGGGGCCCCCAGGCCTCCTGCCCCACACCTGTAAGCCAAGCAGCCCCCTGACCACACCCCCAGCCTCACCCTGGCATTGCTCACCTGGAGTGCGTGAGGGCCCTTCGGAGCCACGGAGGCACAGCCTGCTGACGGCTCTGCTCTCGGCTACCAGGCCTTATAGGGTCTCGGGCAGGCGCGGCCCGGCGGCAGGGGCAGGCAGCCAGCGGGCTGGGGGAGGGCCCTGGGCAGTCACGTGCCTCCCGCCCTGCCCAGCGTGGGCCCTGGGCCCGGCACCTTTCCCCTACTATCAGCACCAGGCGGCCTCTGCCCACGGCCCCCGCCCCCACTGGGCTGATGGATTCTCGGGCCATCCCATGCCCCCGAGGCACTGCCGGCCTGCTCCTTGCCGCTCTGCTGGGACAGCTCGGCCAGTGAACATCCTTGGGCCTCAGTTTACCCTTCCAGGGCCCACAACGTCCTGTTTTCTCCTTGTCCTCAGCTCCTCCAGCCCTCTCCCCCTCGCTCATTCTGCTCCAGCGCACGGGACTCCTCGCCATTCCTCCAACGCACGAGGTGTGGTGCTGCCCTAGGACCTTTGCACATGCTGTTCCTTCTACCTGGAGGGCCCTTCCCCACAGCACACAGCTCCCTCCCTCTCCTCCTTCAGACCTGTTTTGTTCCCAGCTATGTCTCCTGCAATAGATCTGTACCTGGTGCACACTCAGCATTTAATAAACATTTGGCTAAATGGGCCAACTCATAGGACAGCTCTGAGTGCAAAGTGTGGTCAAGCATGTGACCTGTTTACCCCAGTGCCTGGTACCCAGCAGGTACTCAACAAACATTAGCTTAGCATTGTCCAGGCAGAAAGAGAGGAACAGGGTCTCTCCTGAGCAGGGAGGGGTTGCGTCACTCACCAAGAGGGACTTCCCTTGATAAATTAGGGCCAAAATGCGGATGGATACAGGGTACCAAAAGAGCCGGGGGATCCTAGGAGTGAGATGCGGACCTGGTGGGCTTGGGACAACCCAGGGTGACTGCCTGGAGGAGGCATCCTGTGCCTGAGGCCACAGAGCCAGAAAGTGGCAGAGACAGGATCGGAACCCAGCCCCAGAGCCTAGGTGCAGAGTGGGCTGTCTGCGGGTAGGTGCACAGGCCCGCAGAAGAATGACACCCTCCCTGAGCTAAGTGTCCCCCCTTCCTGGTCCTGGGACAGGGATCCCAGTTACATGCTGGTGGGGGTAGGAGGCAGACCCTGTTGGTGGCTCTGGGCACTGAACTGGGAGGAGAGAGCGTTCAGCCTGATGACCCTTAGGTCATCTCCTTGGAGCCATCACTGTGTTTGCCAAACAGTTGGGGAACAAAATGGGGATGTCCCCCAAACTCTGTCCTCCCAGCCAATGCTTCCCAAAGGTGGCAGGGGAGGAGGGAAACCTTGGGTGTGCCCCTCCCCTTCCCACAGGCTGCCACAGCACAGTGAGGGGAGAGGAACCCAGCAAAGACAAAGTGATCATAAACACCCGAGTCAGGTCCCACCCTCCTCTGCCCAGAGCCCCCCCGCCCCAGGGCTCCCACCTCCCTGGGGGAAACCCTAGTCCTCCTCACGACCCTGGCCCCTATCACCTCTCTGTCCTCCCTCCTCCCTCCTCCCTCTCTCCCTTCAACTCCTTCTGCTCCAGACACACTGTTCCTGCAACACACCAGACCTGGTGCTGCCCCAGGGTCTTTGCACACACAGCCCATGCCTTCTGCCCGGAATGCTCGTCAGTCTTCGCTTATGTGTCACCTCCTCCGAGAGGCCCTCTTCGACCCCCTTCTCCTATTTAAAAATACACACCCCTCCTCCTACCCTCACACGCCCCCCATCCTCCATCCCTTTTATATTTTTCGTCATCTACTAAAACTAAGACAAATAATTTACGTAGTTTTCTTGTTCATTGTCTGTCTCTCCAGCTGCATTGTAAGGTCCCCCAAAGCAGGATTTTTATCTGGTTTGCTGCCTGCCTGGCACATAGCAGGTGCTCAACAGTATGTGTTTGTCGACCGAACACACGAATAAGTGAACGGCAGCTCCCGAGCGTGAAGCAGGTCCTAGGACTGAGCGCAGTCGCCTCGATACATTCATACCCACCCCCCAGAGGAGAAACCAGGCTCCAATGAGGCACATAGCTTGCCCACCCAGTTGTAGGCCAGGCTGAGACTCAACCCCAGGGCCTTATCTACTGCTCCAACTCCAAAATTTTCCCTCAGTCCATTAGCTTTCCCTTCCCACTGTTCCTGCCACACCAACTTCTCCATTGCCACGTCTCTGCCCGAGCCTCCCTCTGCAAAATGCCCTTCCCATGTGCCACTCTGCCCATCCTCACCTCCCGACCCTCCAGGAGCCCCCAGCCCTGTGGGGGAAGAGAAGGCAAGGTTGCCTGTGGCTCTAAGTCCAGGTAGAAGGGGCTTGGAGTCCCAAGAAGGTGAGCTGTGGAGGGTTGGAGCTCTCCCGCTGGGGCGGAGTGAGGGAAAGCCTCTTGGAGGAGGTGGCATTGGGGCTGGGGCTTGACAGTGGGTCGGATGTGTCCAAGAGATGGGTGGTGGGCTGGGAGAATATTCCAGGCACAGCCTGGGCAAAGGCCCAGTAGTAAGGGAATATGCACAGTTCGGTGGGAATGCAGCAATGTCTGTGGAGGGGTTTCATCTGGGATGAAACCAGAAGTTCTCAAATGCCAGGGTGAGGAGTTTGGATAGTTGGTCTGAGGGTGAGTGGGAGCCATGGACTTTCCTGAGCAGGGGCAGGGAAGTGAATCTGGCTAGTGGGAGGTAGTTCAGCCTCCCAGAGCTGCCCTTGGGCCAGGTCCTAGGGAAGCCAGGGGCCACCCTGACCTCACCACATTACGCTGTGGTTTCCTAACACCCCACCCAGCCACAGGGGAGTTTGAGGGGCAGCTAAGAATTCGGTTAAAGGATGGGAAGGCCCCCAAGAGACTGGCCTGTGGCCCTTCCCCTACCTCTGTCTGCCCCATCCTGACCAGAGCAGCTGGAGAAATCGCAGCAAGATCAGCCCCTGCGGGTCTAGGGAGGTTGGCATAGGAGGGGCTGCCCCATCTGACTTCTTCCTCCCTCCGATCCTGTTCTCTGCAGTTTCCAAGAAATTCATTTATACTAAAGTGTGAATAGCTTCTATTCCAGGAAGCTACATCTGGATGCCTAACCCCGGTGGGCCTGGCGCTAGTGGTGGGACTCCAGACGGATGTCAAGCCGGTCGGAGAGGCATTCTCACTGCTTTCGAATCTCCAATCTTGGCTTCTGCCAAGCAGACAAACACCTGAGGCCCCCAGCACCCTGCAACTAAGACCCACCCCGGCCTGAACAGAGGCCACAGGCCTTTGGACAACACAAAGCACCTTTATGTTGGAGCACAAACCCCAAAGGGCAAAGCAAGTGGATCTGGTGGGTCCAGCTGATACAGCTGGATATCTTCGGGGACCCCCTCAGTCAGGGATGCACAAGGTGTGGGGGAAAGAGGGTGCTCACTTTTCAAAACCCCAACTGGAAGCCATTGGGCAAAATGTGTGCTTTTGTGGGGAAGTTTTGATCTGCTTCTTGGGGTGCAGGGATGGGGGCCACAGGTAGATGAACCCAGCTTGGGGATAGCGGGACCTGGACTGGGTTCCAGCCCCCATCTGTCCAAGGGAAGGATTGGGGAGGGTCTGAGATTCTGAATTCAGCCCCCCACCCCAACCCTGCCCCTGGGCCAAGGCCGCAGCACGGGCTGTTAGTGCAGAGGCATGGCCACTAGGGGGCAGCAGGGATCTCGGGATACGGGCGGCCTCCTGCTTGCCGCCCCTCGGCCCTATCTGGTCAGAAGTCCAGCTCTGGCATCAGGGTGTGCTTGGGGCGGCTCGGGGGTGTGGGTTCCTCCTTGGGAATGTCCTCTGCGGGGGCCGGCCCGTCCCCGTGCTGGGCCTCCCAGGCTCTCTGCTGGGCCGGCCAGTCCAGGTGAGCCCAGCGGGGGTCAGGGCCCCCCACGACCTCGTCCACCAGATCCTCCAGGTCCGGCGGGGGCGCAGGCCGCTCCACGAGGATGGGCGCGAAGGGCCCCACCAGCCAGGGGAGCGGCACGGCCTGCACCACCAGCTCCAGCAGCTCGTCCACACAAGCGTGGGCCCGGGCCACACTGCCCTGGCCCTCGGCCAGGGCGGCGGCCGGCACATCCCCGAAGCAGCGGGCATCGGCGAAGGCGGACTGCAGGGCGTCCACACTGCGCCGCACCTCGGCCACCTTCTCCTGGGCGCCCGGGGGCAGGCCCCGCACGCTGGTCTCCAGCGCGTCCACTGTGCTCTGCAGCTCCCGCATCAGAGTGCGGGACAGCACCAGCGTCTCCAGCTCTGCCTGTGGGGGAGGGGCGGGCCTCAGCGTCCCAGATGGGCGCCCACCGGGACCAGCGCCCTGCCTCAGTTTCTCCATGCACACTCCAAACAGCTGAGCTCAGCACTTGGATTAAGACAGCTGGAGCCTGGCCCCTGGCGACCCTGGGCAGACCCAGAACACCCCCCCACACACACGCCCCCTGCTCACCCTCTCCCCGTCACCCTACCTGGCTGCGGCGCCGGCGGCCATTCTCTGGGGAGTGCTGGCTCCAGTCCTCCCAAAGCTCGTGCACCTTCCCAGGGCGGGTCGAGGCAGTGGGTGTCGCCCCGCACTGCATGAGGTTGATCTGAGGGGATGGGGACAGTGGTGGTCAGAGCTGGAGGACTTGGGGGCTCGGGGGAGCCAGCACCCTAGCCTAGATCTGGTCTTGATAAGCACCTGGAGAACATCTTCTTCCTGCAACCTTCCCCGCCTGCTGATTCAGCCTGGCCCACCTGCCCGTTCTCTCCTCTGCTCTTGGCCAGACCCTGCGACCTGTGGGTCCCCTAAAGCTCAGACTCACTTTGGCCGTGCTGGTCTCTGCCAGGGACACACTTCCCCTCACCCCATGCCCCTGCCTGGTTCACTCCAGTTTAAGTTTCAATGTAGATGTCTCCTCCTCCAGGAAGTCTTCCCTCCTCCCCTCCTGGCTGGGCAGATTCTACAGCCCCTGGCATGTTCTCCCTCCTGACCCTGATCCCCCTACTGGACTGTGAGTGTCCTGAGGGAGCCACTGTGCCTTCGGTGCCCAGGACAGGGTAGGCATTAGAAGATAAATGGAAACAAACTGTGGTCCATCTGTACCCTGGAATATGATTTCAGCCTTAAAAAGGAAGGGCTATTCTGGCACCTGTTACCACATGGATGGACCTTGAGGACATTGTGCTCAGGGACATCAACAGACTCAGGGGCTCATATGCGCCCTCTGGTGGCTGCTCTGGGGAGGACAGAGTGGGGTCCAGGACGGACCAGGTGCAGTTATGGGGGCTGGACCTGGGTGGGGGGAAGAGAGGGGGAGCTGTGGGCAGAACTGGGGTACCGGCTGATGTGTGAGATGTGGGAGCGGAGGAGAAGAGGGGAGTCGAGGGCTGCTCCTGGGTTTTGACCGGAGCCCCTGGAAGGATGGAGGTTGAGATGGAGGAGGAGCAGGTCAAGGGCGTCTGAACTTACCAAGCTCAGTTAAATGGGAGCTGCTGTGTTCCTTTGGAGCAGGGAGGGATGGACAGTGAGGGACGAGGCAAGAACCTACAGGCTGGGGAGGATTGGGGTTGGTGGCAGGGAAGCAAGGGAAGGGGCACTTTCTCTCCTGAGCTACCCTAACTACCTATAAATTCTAGCTCCTACTCCCCTCCCTTCATGGGACAAAGCCCCCTCCCGTCCCCCCACGCTGAGCCTTGACCCCCCTGAGCTGCCCCAGCCCTGTGTCCCCACTCTGCCCCAGCCCTGAACATGCACGGCTGGAGGCAGCTGAGCTCGGCTGTGCCTCCCCCTTCGGACCAGCTTGGGACAAGGTGCTCGGTTGGCACTCAGGCCGTGCCTACTGGCCTGCATCACAGCGCGGGAGTGGACAGAAGGTTCTCACCAGCTCCAGCGTCTCCTGCAGCTTGGCCAGTGTGTCCTGGGCGTGGTGTTTCTTCTGCCTCAGTTTCCCCAGGGAGTGTTCATACGCCAGGTGGTGGAGCCGCGCTGACAGGGAGCCCAGACGCACAAAGTAGCCCTGATGTCTCCTCTGCTCTTCCACGGAGCCCACTTCCGGGCCCTCAGCCTCGGCTGCCAGGGCCGCTGGGAGGATGGGACGCGCGAGGGGGTCAGTGTGGCCACCCCTGCCACATCTGCTCACCCTCCTTCTGGGTTGACAAGCCCACGGGCTCCCAGCTTTCCTTTACCAATATCAACTCACTTAACCTTCCCCAAACCCTATGACGTAGGCACTACTATTAGCCCCATTTACAGATGAGGAACACTGAGGCAAAGGGGATGAAGTCCCATGGTGTGCAAGAGGCAGACCCAGGGTTCCAACCCAGGCACTCTTAGCCCCTCTACCAAACGGTCTGTGAAGAATATCCTACAAGTGCTCGGCACACAGTAGGTGCTTCATAAACGCCTTGCAGCCTTTCTGTGGAGGAGGGAGTGCCTCGACAAGTTCTTCTAGTGCCCTAAAGCAGGGGTTAAGAAGTCAGATGGCCTCCGGGGTCAGAGACAAGATGTAGAAAGTTGGGAGAATGGTGTGTTTTGTTTTTGTTTTTGTTTTTAAGATTTTATTTTTTAAGGTCTCTCTACCTCCCAACGTGGGACTCGAACTCACAGCCCCGAGATCAAGAGTCACACGCTCCACCGACTGAGCCGGCCAGGCGCCCCGGGAGAGGGCAGATGCCCTTCCGCCCGAGTGTTTAGTGTTTGAGGACGGGCCACAAATCAGGATTTGGAGGGCACAGTGCGACAGTTAAATGCATGCGATGAAGTAAAACATTCTAAAGGCGCTGCCTAGGCCAGTTTGAGGCTGGCGCCCTCAAGTCTCCAAGCCCCGTAGACTCTTAGGGTCTGTGTGGTCTGATTTCTAGTAGGATGTGGGTCGGGGGGCCGTGGACGAGGACGGGGATGTCAGGCCTGGGCTCCAGCTCGGTGTTTCCTGATGCACTGCTGTGTGGCCCTGCCCAAGTCCCGGACTGCTCTGATCCGTCACCTCTGGGGGTGCAGACTGGGCAGAAGGACTCAGGGGCAGGGCAGGGTGGGAGGGTGCCAGCCTCACCGAGCTCGTCCTCGGTCATGGGCAGGAAGTGGTCCACCAGCTCCTCTGACTTGCCCAGCACGACGTCCACAGCGTGGCTCATGGAGCGCTTTAGGTCCACGCTCCAGCGGTGGCTCTGGCCGGCCAGGCCCACCACGCCCGTCACACCACTGGCCACCGTATCCTTGGCCGAGGTCACCACCTGGTGGGAGGGGGCCCCTGCTAGATTTTGGCTCCCTTCTCTCACCCCGGCTCCCGGGGGCTGGGTGTCAAGGGGTCCCCTACTGGCCCTGGGCCTCAATTTCCCCTCTATAAAATGGAGGAAAAGAAAAGTTCTCCCCCACAGGGTTGTTGAGGGGACGATGGGCCCCAACCGGCGCGTCTTAAGCGCTCGATGAACTCGAGTGCTGATTGTTTTAATTTGGCTGGTGTTTTCTGAGTTGGACCGAAACCTGACTCAGCAGCCCCCCACTTCCCCCCTCCCCAGTCTGGCTAGCCCAGGTGTCCAGGCTGGTCCCGGGGAAGGTGGCGCTGCTCCCTCCCACCTCCACCCCTCCCTGGGTCCCCAGGGTACCGTGTCCGAAGGTTGCTGGAGAAAAGGCAGCTTCTCCTCCAGCCTGTCCAGGCCCCTGCAGGCGAGATTGTTCACTGTGGCCACTGGAGGGGAGAGGCAGGGAGTGAGGGCAAGGGAGGTCGGGAGAGGTAGAGGGAGGCCTGGGCCACCCTGCGAGGGGCTGGGGACCCTGAGGGTGTGGGCGGGGCACCAGGCTGGACCCCACCTCCACTGCCCTCCCTGCCTCAGCCCGCCACCGGGCTGCCTCCAGAGCCAGGGTGACTCCTCGCTCATGCCCGGCTCGGACACCCCAGCGAGCAGGCTCAAGGTCACCCAAACCGGCTGAGGAGGAGGTGGGGGAGACCCTGAGCTGGGAACCTCAGGTGACCCCCTTCCTCGGTCAGACGTGAAGCCAAGGGTCTTTCCGCCCCACCCCCATCCCTGTGCCAGGTTGGACCCCTCAGCTGGTCCCAGGAGTGCGGGGACATTTGGGGCTTGGGACCTGTAGGGGAAACGACAGAGAGGCAGACGGGGAGGGAGGTGGGGAGGCGGAGGAACCCGAGGTCTGCCAGGCCACTCAACAAGGGAGGACATCAAGATGCACAGAACGGGGACGGAAAGAGGGGGGCCCCGGGGAAACAGCTAAGGGCGGAGGTCCAGGAGATCCAACCACAGAGGGACAACCCACAGAGGGAGGCAGGTAGAATGGAGAGCGGGAGCCGGGCAGGCAGAGAACGGGAGATGGCCCTGGCAGGACTGGGGGAGGGTGAGACGGGTGGCCGGGGGCCAGGCGCGGGGACGGACAGACGGCATCCACGGTAAGTAAGACTGAGGAGGTCCCAGCTCAGCAGGTCCACTCCAGAGCATGTCATGCGGAGGCACATGCATGTCATCCAGAGCACGGAGGGCGGGCCAGCAGGGCAAACCACAGGACCCAGGGTCGTGGGCCGGGCGGGGGGGACTCACGCTGGGGCTGCAGGTGGCTGAGCAGCGGCTGGGCGTGGTCCAGGGCGCGGGTGGTCAGGCCGCACACGCAGTGCTCAGCCAGGCGGCAGGCGGAGCCCAGCAGCGGGTGCCTGTCCTTAGCCGCACTGTAAGCATCGAGGACAGCGGTGCACGTGGTCCTGACCAGCGGCAGGGCCACCACGCGCTGCACCACGTTCTGCGGGAAGAGGTGGCGTCAGAGTGGCCTCTGGGGGGTGGGGGGTGCGGAGCTCAGCCACACCCCAATCCACTTGCCCCCTCTGGGCCAGGATGACGGGGTGGGCGAGAGGGTTGGGGGGACTGCACACGTAACCTGGGGCTTCAGCCTCCCCATCTGTAAGATGGGTTTCTAGGGCTGGGAGATTCACGGAGCCAACGGGCGTGAAGTGCTGGGAGCAGGGTCTGATGCAGAGTCTCCGGCAGAGACCCGGAGGTTGGGGGCGGGGGAGAGACGCTTCCCGCCCCGGGCATCACTGTGCCCCTCTGGGAAATGGGGAAGATGAGCCACCCATGGTCCAGCGAGGATAGGAAAGAGAGGGGGTACCTGGTCTGGAACTGTCCCAGAAGGGATATCGCCCCACCCTTGCCTGTGGCCCTGCTCCATGGGAGGGGTGGACCCTCACCTGGTGATTCTGTTCCCACAAGCTTGTTCTGTGGGGCTGAGCAGCTTCATCTTCTGACATGCCTGCTGCAAACACCCTGAGGGGCAGGACAGAGTGAGAGGGGCCTCTGCACACCAGCCCTCCTGGGGCCTGCCCAGGCCTTGGGTTCTGTCCCGCTGGGCTTTGTGACTTGGGCAAGTATTGCTCCCTCGTGGGGCCTCAGTTTCCTCAAAATAGGGTAATGATAGGGGCACCTGGGGGGCTCAGTCAGTTGAGAATCTGACTCCTGGTTTCAGCTCAGGTCATGATCTTAGGGGCGTGAGGCCTGTGTCAGGCTCTGCGTTCAGGAGGGGGTCTGCTTGAGATTTTTCTCCCTCTCCGTCTGCCCCTCCCCCACTTGCACACGCGCACTCTCTCTCTCTCTCTCTCTCTCAAATATAATAAGTAAATCTTAAGAAAAATAAGGTAATGATAATACCTACCTCACAGTGTCACGAGGGACACGGGCAATGCATGCACAGAGCTCTGCACACAGTAGGTGCACACTAGAGAGCTCTGGCAAGGTGGGGACATTGTAGTGATTCAAAGCATGGGCTCTGGAGAGAGAAAGACCTGGGTTCAAATCCTGCCCTTACCTGCTGTGTGACTTTGAGCCAGTGCCTTCACCTCTCTGAGCTGTTTCCTCTTCTGCAAAGGAGAGGAGGTCCCTGCTGCCCCTGCCGACCCCCCAGCTCACCCTTCCCCGACAGAGCTGCACACGCAGCCCGCTGCAGGGGTGGAGGTGGCAGCCGCGGAATCCCAGTAAACCCACAGACTGACAGGGAAACTGAGGCGGCCAGCAGGCCCAAGGTCTGGGTGTCCCCAGGGCCTCTCATCTAAGCAGACTCGACCTGGGACTCCCGCTCGCGGTTCTTCCCCTATCCCCACCCTGTGCCCTCAGAGCCCTGGTCCCCCGCCCGACTGGGTCCTGAGCTTCAGCCAACTGGGCCAAGGGTCTCGGCCACCTGCTTGGGCCCGTCATCCCCCTCCCCTCTCACGCCGCTGGATCCTCTCCCGCCCACCCGACCTGGAGCCCCCAAATCTGCGGGGCTCTCCTGGGCGCCCTCCGCGTGGCACTCACCTGAGCGCGCGCAGCCACGGCCCCCAAGTGCCGCCGCGGACCCCAGACTCGGGCTCCAGTCTCCGCCCACCGCTGGCCCCGCCCGCCTTATATCGGCTCGGGGGGCGGGGCCTTCGGGAACTGACCAATGGGGAGGGGCTGTGAGGAGGAGGGTCCCGGGGGCGGGGCCCCAGCCTATCCTCCCCACCCCGCGCGCTCTGCTGGGGCTCGGGGTGGGGGTGGGGGTGGGGGCTCCGCGGTTGTCATAGTAACTCGAGGACGCTGGATGCCCCAGGATTGAGCTACTTACGTTGGCCAGTTTTGGCCACTTGTCACCCTGCTGTTGCCGCAGAAACAGTGGAGGACGATCACAGCCCCCACCGCCTCGGCGAGGAGTGACCTTGGGCAAGTCCTCAAGGTCTTTCTTGTTATTTAAAAAAAATCTGCAGTTTAGGGCGCCTGGGTGGCTCAGATGGTTAAGCGTCTGCCTTCGGCTCAGGTCATGATCCCAGGGTCCTGGGATCAAGTCCCGCATCGGGCTCCCTGCTCCTTGGGAGCCTGCTTCTCCCTCTGCTTCTCTCTCTCTCTCTCCCTCTGTCTCTCACGAATAAATAAATAAAATCTTAAAAAAATAAATAAATAAAATAAAATAAAAAAGAAAAATCTGCAGTTTAACTCAGCCAGGATTCGGGCCGGCTCATTCCCTTGGATCCCCATCTTACAGATGAGCAAATTGAGGGATCCGATTCAAACCCCGCTCTGCCAGACTCCAGGCCCCTCCCTGGCTTTCACCGTCATGCCTGGAATGACCACCAATGTGGGCATGACCATTCTTCCAGGGGGCCTTCCCCCAAACACCCAGGGGTCCCCCCAAATCTGACTCTGGCTCCCAGCATGCCCAGCACTGTGTCAGCAGGTGGCCCAAGGTTCTGAGTTGGAAGAACACAGGCTCCTAAGCCTTCAGCTCCACCCAGCCTGCCCAGGCCTGCCCTGGGTGGTTATCCCCCTGGGTTGTCACGGGCCAGCATGACAAATTATTTGGAGACCTGAAGCAATCCAGTTTAATTTAAACCTTCCCCAGGACACAAGCTCTGGCAGGAATCCACCGGTAAAACGACACTCCGGGCAATGGTCAGTGTTTTATTTCCAGTTAGGTCTTGGATAGGGGGAGGGGGAGGAGGAGCTGCAGGCCATCAGATCCCAACTGCCATCCCGTTGGAAGCTCATGTCCTGCACCCCAGGCCCTGGGTCAGGCCTCTTCTTTCCTTCTCCTTCCTCTGGGGAGGCCTAGGAAGTCAACCTGGGAGATGCTCAGAACACAGTGAATTATTCTAGTATTCCAATTCCATTCCACAGTTATTTATTAACCCTTCGGGTCCGACCGCAAACTGAATGATGCTGGCTCTGAGGGAACCCAGCCCCAGGCCCTGCATTCGGAGAGCCCCCCGAAGTGGGGGAGGCGGAACCAGATAGAGACAACCCTAGTGTAGCCAGGGCTGGGCCAGAGGGAGGCCAAGCAGGCTGAGGGAGCTTGGAGACCAAGAGATCTGGAAAACAGGGGAAGACATTCTCTTTTCTTTTAAGTAGGCTCCATGCCTAATGTGGGCCTTGAACTCACGACCCTGAGATTAAAGAGTCGCGTGCTCTACTGACTGAGCCAGCCAAGTGCCCCCAGGGAAAGGCATTCTTGGAAGAGGGTACAAGGAGGCTGGAGAGCCCAACGTGCATTTTGGGAAGCCTGGGCCAAGCGGATCCTGGCAGCTCTGGAAAGCCGTAGGTGAATTATTTGCTAAGTACCGTGCAGTGTGCTGCCAGGCCTGTCTCCCCACCCTAGCCCCAGGCCTCAGTGGGACTCGGCTGCTTCCAGGAGCATCTGGCCCTTTGAGGCTTCGGGCCCGGCGCAGCGTGTGGCATTCTGGGAGAACATCTTGTCTTTGTTGGCCACGACCCACCCATAGAGGTCATCCAGGTTCCGATCACAGATCCAGGGGTTCCCAGAGATGTCAAAGCCATCCTTCATGTCCCGGGTGGGCTGCCCCAAGGATGTCCAGAGCCCCTTGGGCACGCTGGTGAGCAAATTGTTGGAAAGATCGAGCATGTCCAGTTGCTGCAGCCCTCGGAAGGCGCCAGCTGCCACGGTGGCCAGCCTGTTGTCGTTCAGGAAAAGGTAGCGCAGGTCTGGCTGGGGTGCCAAGAGCCCCTCTCCAAGCACCCGCAATCTGTTGCCCTCCAGATGCAGCCTTTCCAACTGCACGGGGCCCCTCAGAAGATCAGAGGGCAAAGTCTTCAACTGGTTATTGCTGAGGTCAAGGATGCGCAGGGAGGTGAAGTTGGCCAACAGCCCAGGGGGCAGTGTCTGGAGGTGGTTCCCGGATAGGTCCAGATGCCCCAGGGCTTTGAGCCCCTGCAGCCACGAGGGCTCCAGAATTTCCAGCCGGTTCTCCTTCAGCACCAGGGTGTGGAGAGCGGCCGAGACCCGGAAGAGGCCTGGGGGCAGCTGGGTCAGGGCATTGCGGGTTAGGTCGAGCACCTTCAGCAGAGGCACCGGCAGCAGGAACTTGGGCGAGAGGCTCTCCAGCTGGTTGGTGGAGAGGTGCAGCTCCTGGAGGTTAGAGGCGCCCTGGAGGGTGTCGGCCCGCAGCTGGGTGAGGTTGAAGAACTCCACCACCAGGTAGACGGTGTCGGCTGGGAAGCGGTGAGGGAGTTTGGCAGGTGGGTGGCAGGAGACGGAGCTGCCGTTGCTCGACTGGAACACCAAGCAGGTGTCACGGTTTGGTGTGACATCCTGGGCTGAGGCCACAGACAGCAGTAGCAGGAACAGTGTTCTAGAAAGATGGGAGCTCAGGCCTCCTGGGCTGCAGGCAATGACAGAAAACACACCTCGCTTGGTGAAAGCGTCCCCAGACTCTGCCAACTATTTCCTGTCTCCGTTTCCAGCGCCCTGGACCATGCCAGCTCCTGGCTCCCCCGGACTCGTGCAGTCATCCCCTGCTCCTCTCCTGGCTTCCACCCTCACCTTCCCACAGCTACCCGAAGTCGCTGCTGTTACAGAGCAGTCTAACTCTCTGAAAACTGAGTTTCTCAGTCTGATCCATAAATGCTACCCTTCTTCATGGCCAGCCCAGCCCCAATGGACTGTTAATTATTTACAGCCAAATTTGCTAATTTCTTTCTGGTTTCTTCTGTTCTAGCTTGTTTTCTGGGTCATTTCTTATCTCCCTGGCTACACATTTTGAAGGCAGGGCCAGTGAACTCCTACTTATCCTGCAAAGCCCCAGCCCCAATGCTCCCTTTCCCATGAAGCTCTCTCTGACTTCCCCAAGCTTTCCCCTCTGGCCTCCTCCTCTTTCCATCCAAACAAGGTTACATTTCTTTCTCTGATGGAGCCGCAGCTCCATCTCGCTCCAAAGTGCTCGGGTGCAATCCAGGGCTCCAAAAGGAACTCTGAACGTGGAAACTGCATCCTGCTTTGTGCAGATCTGGGACAGGCATTTGGCCTTGGGATGGGGTGGTGTACAGTTGGCACCATACTCCTTGGAGGGCTGGGGCTTCTGCTCCTCCTGGTCCCTCCAGCAGGCCTCTGATGGGGTGTTGGTCGGGAGGTGTTGGTGGGACTCCAACTCTCTGTCTGGCCCGGGGAGCACCTGGGACTTCTATAGTGAGTGTGTGTATGAGAGCATGTCTGTCTGTAGTTACAGCCTGTCGGTCTATTCCAGTCTGCAGATCTACATCTAGCCCTTTGACTTCAATGCATCAAACAGAAATGTCTAGTATCCAGTTCTGCCTACCATGGGTGGGGTGGGGACTTACCTCTGGTTTCTCTCTGGGCTCCAAGAGGACATGATGGTCTCTCTCTTTTCCATCTGTGTTCCCTTAGCCTGGTGATGTAGCCTTATAACCTGCCTGGACTGGGGTCAGGGCCACCCACCCTAGGGAAGTCCTCACCCACATGCTGTTCCCGTTAATGGCTGGACCTGAGCCAGGCAGGGGAAAGGGAGTGGTCAGAATTGCAAAATTGCTTCCTGGCAGGAGGAGGGCAGGAGGGGGGTTGCCTGCCCCCTTCTCCGCCTGCTTCTACCCAGTTTTTCATTCCCCTGATTCCTGCTTTTGAGGGGTGGGCACCCAAGAATCTCTGGGGCCGAATCCCCGCTTCCCCCAATCCGGGGATCAAGGGTCTGGTTTGCCAGGCACCATTCCTGGGGGATAGGGACAGCTCTTTAAGCAAGAGATACTCTTTGCAATAAATTTGAGCAACCAGGAAGCTCAATGAAGATAACAAAAAGCACTTGTCTTGAATTCATGATGTATTGTTGGGCTTTTTTAAAAGATGAAATAATTTCTAGAAATTAGGTTTCAAAAGTAAGCGATGCCAAAAGTCTCCATGGTCTTTGAACAATGGCCTGGGAGGAACAAAACCTGGCCCTGGCTCCCAGCTCTGCTAGGAATGGCTTTATTTTATGATCTTGGGCAAGTGGCTTAACTTTTCTTGGCCTCAGTTTCCATATCCATGAAGTTGAACTCAGTCTCCAAGGGCCCCTTCTGCTCTTTGTTTCTTCATCTGAAGCTAATGTGCTGTTTGTTTTGGATCTTTCTCATTCCCTAATAAATGCATTTGGAGGCTACAAATTTCCCTTTAGGAACTGCTTTGGCTGCATCTCACAGGTTTGGCTACTCAGAGCTTTCATTTTTGTTGCGTTCTAAAAATTCAGGTGTGATGTGTTATCTTTACCTGCACCCAGGACTTCCATCACGCCTGGCCATGGCCTCTTCTCCCCGGCCCAATCTCTGAAGAGTTTTGTCTCTATCAAGCTTTGAGAATGAATATGAGTTCTGTCTTGTGGACACATAGGTTCAGAGACACACATGCAGGCTGACCATGACAGGCATAAAGAAAGACAGATGGATATCCTCGTGAATACACAGGTAGATACAGCACAGAGACAGGTGAAAATACATAGAACCACACAGAGACACAGACAAAGCAGGACACGTTGACAGAATAACAGATCCATAGAGTTAGACACACAAAACAGATACCTACAAAATAGTCAAAGGACCTGAAGAGACAGTTTTCCGAAGAAGACATCTAGATGGCCAAGAGGTACATGAAAGGTGCTCAACATCACCCATCATCAGGAAAATGCAAATCAAAACCCCAATGAGATATTACCTCACACTTGTCAGAATAACTAGAATCAAAAAGATAAGAAATAACAAAGTTGGTGAGGATGTGGAGAGAAAGGAACCCTTCTTCAATGTTGGTGTGAAAGTAAATTGGTGCAGCCTCTGTGGAAAACAGGATGGAGGTCCCTCAAGAAATTAAAAATAGAGATATATGATCCAGCAATCCCTTGGATTTATCCCTTTGGATAAATACCACTTCTGGGTATTTATCCAAAGAAAACAAAACAGTAACTAGAAAAGACACATGTATTCCTTTGTTCCTTGCAGTATTACTCACAATAGCCAAGACATGGAAACATCCTAAGTGTTATTGACAGATGTCTAGATAAAGATGCAATAAAAAGAAAGAAAGAAAGAAAGAAAGAAAGAAAGAAAGAAAGAAAGAAAGAGAAAGAAAGAAAGAAAGAAAGAAAGAAAGAAAGAAACAAAGAAAAGAAAGAAAGAGAAAGAAAGGGCACCTGGGTGGCTCAGTAGGTTAAGCATCTGCCTTCATCTGCCTTTGGCTCAGGTCATGATACTGTAGTCCCAAGATCAAGCCCCGCATCAGGCTCCCTGCTCAGTACGGAGTCTGCTTCTCCCTCTGCCCCTCACCCTGCCCATGCTCTCTCTCTTGCTCGTTCACTCTCTCGCTCTCTTTCTCTCTCTCAAATAAATAAAATCTTAGAAAGAAAGAATGTGATATACACACACACTGGAATATTATTCAAAGGTAAAAAAAGAAGAAAATGCTGCTATTTGCAACAATGTTATTGAATCTTGAGGGTATTACCCTAAGTGAAGTAAGTCAGGCACAGAAAGACACTGTATACTCTCACTTATATATGGGATTTTAAAAACCCAAAACCCAGAGCAGGATGGTGGCTGCCAGGGGCTAGGGGGTGCAGGAAATGGGGAGATGTTGGTCTAAGGGTACAAATGTGCAGTTCTAAGATGAGTAAATCCAGGAGGTGTAATGTACAACATGGTGACTATAGTTACCCTTACCATACACGGTAATGTCATATACTTGAAAACTGCTAAGAGAGTAGCTCTTAAATGTTCTCATTGCTTACACAGAGAACTACAGGAGGTAATGGATTTGTTGTGGTAATCCTAGTGCAGTATCTGCACCCATCAAATCACTGAGTTGCGCACCTGAAACTTACACAATGCTGCACATCAAACCTCTCTCCACAAGGCTGCAGAAACGGACACACACAGGTTCAGCACAGTGCTTTGGGTTTCTTTGTTTACTATACTAACAATCTCCCCCAGGACAAGGGGGAGCTGGATCTGTTTTGTCCACTGCTCAGTCCCTAGAGCCCAGCACACAGCAGGTGCCCCATGGACATGGGCGGGAAGGAGGGAGTGTGAACCGCGAAGGAGGCATAATGCTAAAGAGATCTCTTAAAGTGAAATCAGATCCCGCCCTCTGCTTAAAATCCTCGGAAAGGTCCCTGTCCCACTTAAAATAAAATCCATAAGGCTGGGAGGGGGGTAGGATGGGGAGTTAATGTTTAATGTGGACAGAGTTTTACTTTGGAAAGATACAAATTTCTGGGGATGGATGGTGGGGGTGGGCGCCCGACAGCGTGAGCGTGCTTCATGCCATCGACCTGTGCGCTTAAAAACGGTTCCAATGGTGCGTTCGAATTTATGTGGATTTGTGTGGATTTTACCACAACAAAAACTTTTACACTCTGCACCTGTGAGGCCGTTCCTGCCTGAAGCCCCTGCCCTCCTCTCCCTCCTCACCTGCACCTGCTCCTGCCCGGCCCTCCTCGTGTTGCTGGGGGCCGCTGTGGCCGCCTTTCCCCTTCTCCAAGCCGGTCCCCACCGAGGGCCTTGCACTGGCTGTTCCTTCTGCCTGCGCACCTCCTCACAGCTGCTTTCTCACATGTCACCTCTCAGCTCAAGTGTCACCTCCCCTACAGGCCCTCCTCGACCACCCCCTCCCCCACCCTACAGTCAGCCCTGACCTAGCACATTATCTGGCCTTTTCTTGACGGCGCATATCACTACTTCAAATCCCCTCCTAATTTGTGTGGGGGGGGCCGGTCTCCCCCACTAGGCTGTGAACCCTATCAGGACAGGGATTCGTCCCCGACACTGCCTGGCATGTAGCAGGTGCACAATAAATATCTGCTCAAGGAGGAATCAGAAAACTGGCCCCATCCAGATGAAGATGCGCGCCATTTCCACATCTAGTTCCCCCAAATTCTGCTTGTCGCCATGAGTCTCACAGGGGGCGGGCGGGGAGTACTCCCAACTGCCCCAGGCAAGTGTGGTCCAAGTCCCACCGGTAGGAGACAGAGCAGACCCAGAGCCTTGGGGGCCGGTGGTTGTAAACAGTTTTATTGATGGGGAGGGGGTTGGGGGAGGCAAACTCCAGAGAGGGTCCAGGACTCAGCTGGCCACTCAGCTGGCATGCATGGTCAGCTGGAGGTCAAGGGAGAGGTCACAAGGGGACGGGTGGCATGGGACCCTCTGACCACCCTGGGGCCGTATTTACAGTGGGGCCCGCCCGCCTTCCCCGCCCCCCCAGACCACCAAGCCCTTTAGACAGCTGCTGCCGATATGACTTCTGGGCAGGCCCTCCCGGCCCCCCTGCCCGAAACCCCTTTTCGTCTCCCCCTCAAACTCCTAGCCGGCACCTTGGAGGCCCCTGGGCCTTCTGGAAGCCCCGGCGCCGGCTCAGCCAACGCCCAGGCCGCTGGGGCCACCGCCTCGCACACAGACAGGTACACTGCACGCGTGGCCTGCCGCGACACACACACGCCGGCAGCAGCCCTCGTGGGCACACACACACACCTCCCTCCCCTTCCTGGCCCCTTGCACACATGAACACGGCATGCACACACACACACACACCCACACACGCCAGGAGCCTGGGTTGAGGAGGGGCCTGGAAAGGGGGGGGCGGGGAGGTTGGGTCTGCGGATGCGGCCCCTCCCCTGTCCCGCCGCCTCCAAGCCCCGCGGCTGACACCCCGAGAACGGAGTTGTGCAATTGGATAGAAATCTGCAAAAGAAACGCCAATTGGAAAACATACCCAAATCCACGCGCAGAAGGTCAACCTCAAATCCATAGCACATTCCTCCCGCCCCCCCACCCCCAAACCGCCTCAGTGTCCCGCGGCCCCGGGCGGGGCGGGGCGGGGGGGGGGCGCCGAGCTCGTTGTGCTTCCGTGTGGCCGGGGGGGGCCCCCCCCACCGCGGGTGGGGAGGGGGTCTTGAGCACCCACTGGAGCTGGGCCGGCTCTCTCGCTCCTGGTTCCCGTGGCTGGCACCGCCGAGGCGTCGGGCCCCGGCCTAGGGCACGGGGGGCGCAGTCCTGTCCGTGCCCCCGTAGGAGAGGAGGTGGGCCAAGTCCGTGCCGGGCCGCACGTGGCGGCCGCGGTGGCGGTCGCCCGGCCGGCCCTCGCCGCTGTTGAACGTGTGCGTGCGGCGCAGGGCGGCGGCCGGCGGGCCG